ACTATATAAAGAATAAACTGGCCTCAAATTTACTTTACTTACCTCAAAACTATTTTAAAGTTAATAATAAAGTATATATTAAAGATTTTATACATATTATTATGTATAAAATCTGGAAGATATCATATTTCATAAACTTCAATAAACTAAGATATCATATTTCTCTAATTAACATTCTTTCTAAAAACGTAAATCTATATAGACCAGCAAAATATTGATAATTTTACTGATGTTCCAAACTATTCTATGAAATTGTCTCACTATACACTCGTGAATCGCATCCGACGAACAAGAAGCAATTTGAAACAGTATTTTGTAATAGTAGTATGTCAAAATCAATGTTACAGAGATATTCAGTGCCAACTGAATTTTTATACAAAATGGACAAGACTAACTTTGGAATGAACCTACTCATTAAAGTAAATCCTTTTAGAAAAAATACAGAGGCACATTGTGGAAACGAGACATTGATTGAACTAAATTTAATTGTTTTGTGGTTAACTGTATATGCAACAGAGTAATTTAGGGAAACATTTATTAATAAGATATTTATTTAGTGTATGAAAATCTAGGTATTTGGTCATTATATTTTGAATTTATTGCACCAATTGGTTTCTTTTATTTATTTCCTTCTACTCCTCAAGCACTATTAAAAGAAAAGGTAATGTCTTTGAACTCAATTAAGAACCCTGAGATGAGAAAAACATATAATTATTAATCTGGCGTCTACATTAAAATGAATTAAATTTTTTTGTTTTAATTTGCTAATTAGATCATAATTAATTTGAATTTGTATATGGAATTTCAAAATTAAGCTGTCATAATATATTATATAAGTGCCTGATCAGAGAGTGCCCGGTTTTCGAAATTCTGTCTGGTAGTTTCGTTTCTTCATCAAGTATGATTTATGTATTAAAGTGACATTATGACTTTTCAAGAATTTTTGATAACCTCCACAAGGCATTCCTTATTGGAAATAATTTTGTCTCTATATTTGTATAATAGCTGTTATAAATGCTGTAAATACCGTATCTCTACAAAATACCATGAAATATTAGGATGGAATGCAAGGTTATCAATAAATACCAGATGTTATTCTTTTTATGTACATATTTGAATCTATATCCGATGTTTATTGTGGCAACCCGTCGAGTCAACAACTTGATAAACACGGAGTGCTATATCCCGTCTGTAGATTTATTACTCTTATCATTAAATCATCAGCTTTACATTTATTATAAATTTGTGTTAATCTGAAATTTTGAAACGATCTCGTTTTTCAACAGGAAGTAACACATTACTGTAATAAATAATTGTAATTTACTAAATATACATTAAATGATAAATATATTTAAAGTAACAACGTCTTACTACCTTAAGTAAGGCTACCTACCTTTCAGAGTATCAAGTTTATATCCATTACAATGGACATAAGCTTCATTTATTTATTATATAAATATGTACAGGGTGTTTCAAAAAGGTATGTCGTAAATCACGCATTCCGGAGACAAAAATAAATTGATTGAATCCAACTTACCTTAGTACAAAAGTGTACACAAAAAAAGTTACAGCCCTTTGAAGTTACAAAATAAAAATTGTTTTTTGCATTATCTCCTAAACTACTTGACATTTTGTAATAAAAATGTACATTTTACTTTCTTATTCTGAACGCATTTTTATAAAAAAGAAAAAAAATCTAAGCACACAGAAAAATTTTAAGGGGGGTGTGCAGTAAATCCGTAAATCCCCCTAAACTTTTGAGTGCGTTCAAATCAATTGAATTTTGTGGCATCATTAGTTTAACACATTATTTTTAAAACAATTTTGCCTCGTATTACTTTTCTCAAAAAACAGTTTTTATTGAGTTACGCCCCTTTTCATTAAACTTTAAAAAATTACGTGCAACTAAATAAATGGCCTAAATAAATTACAAGTACAAAAAATGTCTATAACCTCTATAAATATGATATTATAATAAATGTTCAAAATCACCCCCATTTTCTTCAATATACATTCGGTATCATTTTAATAGGGAAAACCGAATACGCTGAAAAATCATATTTTTCTGACGAAATTGATTTGCAGCTTCAATTATTCTAACCCTCAATTGTTGTTCGTCCTCTATTGTTACATAATACACTTTCTCTTTCATAAATCCCCAAAAGCAAAAGTCCATGGGGTTAAGACCTGGACTTCTGGGAGGCCAAGAAATAGGTGCGTCCTCCTTACTCCTTTCAATTCACCGACCAGGATACTGCCTGCAAAGGTATTCCCGGACTTCATTACTGTAATGCGGTGGAGCGTCATCTTGTAAAAACAACATATTTTGCCTTATTGCAATATTCACTTCTTCCAAATACTCTTGTAAATCATTTGCCAAGAACTGCAAATAATTACCACATTTAAATTGTTGGGAAGAAATACTGGGCCTATTAGATTGTTATTCACTATTCCTGCCTAAACATTAACTTTGAAAATACTTACTTTGGTGATGAGTCGTTTTTTTGGCGTGAGGATTTTCGTCGGCCCAAATGTGCTCGTTATGATGGTTAGTTATTCTATTTCTACTGAAGGTAGCCTCGTCGGTAAACAAAATATTTCTAATAAAATTAACATTTTGAGTGTGTTCCATTAGCAACCAATCGCAAAATCCAATAATTTTAGGGAAATATTCAACCAATAACTCTTGAACAGTTGTTAAGTGATAGGGTTTAAGCAGCTGATCCTTCAAACGCCTCCAAACTCTTACGTGAGGAACATTTAGTTGAGCAGCTATTGCCCTTGTACTTGTTCCAGAGACTTCTTCAATGATTTCTAAAATGTCTTCATCAGTTGCATCCATTATTGGACGACCACTATTGCCAGCAACTTGCGGTTGGAATGTACCCGTTTCCCTTAAACGACGATCAATGGTCAGAAATAATCGTCTATCTGATGTATTTCGATTGGGGTATTTTACTGCATAACGCCTTGCGGCTGCTGCACTATTTCCTTGACCTTCACCTACGATATTCCCGATAGTTTATTGAAATCATAATTTAATCTGATCCAACTTACCCAAAGTTAAATCTGCCATTTCCTGAAATGTGTAGGCCATTGTAATATCAAAAATTTTAATATTAATCTTATTCACGCAATAAATGATAGCTTCAAAGTATTGACTATCCTTGATGGAACTGTTTGTAATTATTGTATTCGTAGAAACTAGTTGTAATTTGATTTTAATAATGAATGTTTCCTCCACGTGCTCCAATGATTGTCTGAATTCTCCTTGGCATTCCTAAAATGAAATGAGAAATGTCCCGTTGAGGAATAAGTTCCCATTTCTCTAAAAGTTCTACTTGGAACTTATCTAAGGTTAAAGGTGGAGGAATACGACTTCGTATCCTTCGCCCAAGCATGTCCAAAACATCTTCGATTATGTTTGAGTCTGGACTCAATGCTGGCCAATCCATTACAGTTAAACTGTTACTTCATTTAAAAACTGTTGAGTGATTCTCGCACTAGGAGGCTTGGTATTATCACGTATCAGAATAAAGTCATTTCTAACAAAACCAGCATAGACACAACAAAATCTTGGAGAATTTCATCAATGTACTTGGCAGCTGTTATTCAGTCTCTCGAAACGATGTACAATTCTGTACGTACCTCTAGAGAATTTCCAGTCCACACCATAATGGAGCCCCTTTGATAGCCTACCCTAGAACTGAGCAAAACACTCATGAGGTCTTCGCCATACTCTCTTACGGCCATCTGGAGACCGCAAGGTAAACCTAAAATCATCAGTAAATAAAACGTAAAAAAATTATTTACAGTAAAATGAGCATGGTTTCTGGCAAACTGAAGTCGCGGAACTCGATGGCGCCTGAGAGGTTGTAGGCCTGTTGCAAGTTTGTGACTGCTTAAACTTGCTTCTCCAAGCCTTCGTCTAATTGTTCGTTCACTTATTCCGGACGTACTGAAGTTGATTTCGGATTTGTACAGCCGTGGCACGACGATCTCGTAGACTTTGTAAGAGGATGAAGTGATCATCACGGGCACTAGTTCTTCATTAGGAACCGGTTCCAGGTTGTCTAGTGTAAGCTTCGGTTGCCAAAAAACGTGTAAAAATACGGTACTATTGGATATTTGATACTTTTGAACAACATATCGCTCACTTCCGCCGTCTTGAAGCAACGCTAGAATATCATCCGATGTTTCGGGATTTACAACTATAATTATTCTTGAGACTAAACCAACGCAATTCAACTTTAAATTGTGTTTGATACTTGATTCGACTTGACAGTTTACTCACATCAACAAGAACCAAACCTTTGCACTTTTAAAAGTGATAAGAATAGTTTATTCTTTATTTCTCACTTTTATGCATTTTTTTTGTCAAATAAGCACTTAAGTTTTATTAGAAATCACTTAAAACAGATTGTTTCGTTTGTGTTTACGTTATTATAATAATAAAAGTTTAAAGAGAATTAAAATTTCAAGTTTTTATTTTAAAAATGCAAGTGCTCCGTTTTTTTGCCAGTACGTGTATGAACGGAAGATAAATATACACCAATTTCCATAGCAATAGACTTAATGTAAAATGTTCAAGACATTTTGTTCTGTCTGTATTGATTTATCACGATTTATCTCTTTAGAATGAACCTTAACCATCTTTTTTTTTTCAACCAAAGAGAACCCTATATCAGACTGGAACTGGACTTATCTGGAAAGAGCGTTGCGTATGATCCTTGAATATTAGTGTCTTGTTTCCGTATTTATTAGGTGCAAATATATATAGACAATTTTACCTTGAAGGAATGTACTTTCCGTTCACTTTAAATATCCAACAGAAGCAAGATTTAAAGCTGAAGTGTTTTTTTTTGCTTAAAAGCATACAGTAACTCCTTTTTAATCAGCAATTCAGCAGTCATGCTTGATTAATAGTATGCATAATACTTAGCATAGCAAAAGTATTGATGGTTTTCAGTCTTTGTTACAAATTTTGTATTCGTTTGCAGATCTACAAAATGGAGAGCGGGGAATCTCCATTAGAAGTCTTATCCAGGGCTGCCACAATGGTCCAGGAGAACCAATCCTTAGGAGTATCAGGTAAGCAGTTAAAGAATTCTCTACACTTTAGTAGTTGACTAAAATTTGACTCACCTTGTAGTCTGTATTATAGAAGACCTAGATGGTCTTATCAAACTAGTACAGTCCCCTGAATTTATTGATTTTCATATTTCTGTCTGACTTAATTTGTTGATTTTAGTTATTACATATAGCAAGGAAGCCTTGGCAAACTTGGTAACATTGTTTTATGCCAGATCACACAAGTGAATTAATCCACACTTGCTTCCCCTTTTAATTCTTTTTGTGTTGCCAAATTTCTCCCTAACAACTTAGGGCAAATACTGTATTTATGAGGTTTGTTTGTTATCAGAAAATGTTCAGCAATTTCTGCTTTTGTCACTCTACATATTTTTTATATGCTTTCACTGTAATACAGCGGTTCCCAACCTTTTTTTAGCTTGAGACACACTAACTTAAAAACTCGTTCAGCCACGGCACACTTGCTTGTAAATAATCTCTAAATGAGTATAATCATAATGTATTGTTAGGTGATTTTTTACTATGTTACGTTCCCTAAAAATATAATTTAAAACATAATTCATTGAGTTAATGCTGTGCTCATTATGGCAACTAATTAGGAAAATTAAGAAAACAAAATTTTAATGCATTTACAAACATATATTTTGTGTTAAAAGAGACCAGTTAATAAAAAATAATGGAGTGTAGAACAGAATGTCCGTCTAATTAAAAATAGTGGCGCACTAATGCGATATTTGCGCTTGATGACCCTTCATTATTAAATCCTTTCTAGGACGTATTGTAGACAAGCACACCTACAAGTCGTCCTCTAAAGATTTTAGCTGTGAACGATTTTTGTTCATCGACGAGAAAGCAGATTCACAGATATAAGAAGTTGAAAATGGTATTATTGTATTCATAGATTTCTTTGAGACCAGTTGATATTCATTGCAGAGGGGCATCCAAAAGGATGCAAAATATACATTAACTTTGATTTTCTTCAGTTTTGACTGATCCTCTGCTTCTTTAACTAGTTTATTATACGTATGTTTAAGTCTACGGTCGTTTTTTATATCTATCAGTTCACTCTCTTCATCAATAGTGAACAAGGCCGTGTCATAAGCCGACTCGATGTATGGATTTCTCACCCAGTCCATTGATGACGTATCGAGAGAGGGAAAATACTTTTTGATATTGTCTTTCAGCTTACTCGGACTTTTGAAGAGAAGATCTGACAGATTTGGTTCTACATTGCAATTGTTTGTTTGCAACTGTTTTTTTCCAAATTTCCTAAAACTATCTCCCAAAACGCACCAGGTGTCATCACTAAGGAAATTGGCATATTCAGACTGTTCAAAAGTCAAAAAATTCAATCATACGAGAATTGATAGTTTGACGTTTGACCAACGACTGTCTGTGTGAGATGTGAGTAGAGATGAGCATCGTTAGTTTTACGATCAACAATAGCGATTAACAAAAAATTTGCCTAACCTGCGATCATAACCCTCTATTAGAGAAATTTATAACTAAAGGAATTTGAATAGAACATCGAAAACATCGACGTTTAGGCTCGATGTTGCATTCTGATGTTGCGTTCCGATGTTTAATCGATGTTAACCATCGATGTTTTCCCAACGATGTTCATCTCAGGGTGTGAGTGTCTTTAAACATTATCGTCACAAGCGGTGATATGTTGAACTAACGCACGTCTGCATATGATAATGCTGATACTTTGCTACCGCATGCTGTTGGTCGAGTGTTGAACTATTGAAACAGCAGACAAGCGAAGAACAGAAGTTTTATTCAATGAAAAATAGTAGGTAAAATCTATGATCACGGCGAATTAAAAAAGTAAATACGACTAAAAAAGGCGGTAAAATTTCGCGGCAGACCTACAGGGACTTCAGGGCACACCAGTGTGTCGCGGAACACTGGTTGGGTTTCTCTACTCTAATACGATCCTTTTTAGTGTGCCCTCTAAATTGATATTTATCCAAGGATTGTACATTGCTGCTATTAGTACCACGTCTGCGAGGCTTTAACTGTTCAAACTGTTGAGTAATATAACCTTTTCAATTTGATTCCTTTCTATTCTTTGTTTCAAGTTAAGAAAATAACATTACGCTTATGGAGATCAGTGTTGCCAAAACTCTCAGACACTCTCTTTTGCATGGATGTCCAAGATATTCCTTTTGCTTAATTTTTGAATTTTCATTTTTAATTAACATTTAACTGTAAAGTCAGAATAACTACTAAATAAAAGCCTTATTATCATTATGTATTCAGAGAACGACATAAAATAGCTGACATACGCACATCATATTATTTTAAGTTGCAATTAGTAATTAGATATACGCATTTCAAGCGGTCAATATTTTCTACTGATTTCTATGATTCATGGCATATCGTATTCTCACCGAAAAACAAATAAACTGTTGTTACTATAATTAAAATAAGATAAAATAAAATTATCTTTTGTAAATACCATTTATGTAATTAAAATAATTTTCCCTACTTTTCATCTCTTATTTCGAATGGGCACTTTTGGTCAATTACGTTAAAAAACATTAATTTAATTCATGTTGGAAACGAAAATACAAATTATACAACCCTAAATTGTGCTTGTGTGTGTCGTGGCAACGCCGCGTTTCTATCGTCCATAAGAAATACATGGCCCTATCTCCGCAATGTTATTTTCTTAACGTGGAACGTAGTATACATGTTTTCAAGGTTGCCGCTTTCTACAGTTATTCCATGGCATTCCATGGTTAACTATCAAAAAGTGCAGACATAAAATATATTTGTGTATTATATACTATTTATATAATTAAAGTGCTTATTGAAAATAGCCGAAACGTTTAAGCAATACTTAAGTATTTTTATTTAACAGAGCGACAAACCCAGGAATTAAAAAAGTTTTCTCTACTTTATCTTCGCTTTTGGTTTTTTCTTCCTTTATCTTTTCCTTTCTTTTGTCAATTCCTATTTACAATTTGCGACCTTAATAAATTTGCATAGTATAATTTCTATAAATTACTATTTTTACTGGGAATAAGCCACAATTTTACTTTAAAGTAACTTTATTTTGACGTTTAGATTTCCACTTCGGAAATATTAAAAATTAGCTTCAGAGCAGTATAATTTATTGAATGTTGTTTATTTTTCTACATTAGAAAAGCTTTTCCATTTACTAAATATATCTTACTCATATCGTTTTACTCTATAAAATTTCTGATCCGACCCTGTCCTTCAATGTTTTTCTTTTTCGATCCTAATTAAGTAGATTCAATTGACATTCCGACCAGTACGTCATTCACGATTTTTCTTAGCACAATTTCACGGTCACAAAAAGTATGTAGAACATTCAAGAGCCAAGTGACAATCGCATTCCGCCAGACCTACGTATCTATAGTCTATTGTATTTTTTCTAAACGAAACAATTTGCAAGGAATATTTTAAATGAAAATGCAACACAAGCTGTTATTGTTAGGACACAAGCATCATATTTATATACTGCTTAACATGGAAGGTTTCTGAAAAATATTTTATAATATAATACGTTATGTGTGCACTGTTTTCCAATTATCTTTTTAGGATTATGAGTTTTGCAAACGATTAACACATTAAAACAAATAAGTATATGAAGTAGTTGAATTGGGAAAACAAAATTTTGACGAATATTTGACAAATCTTTAAATGTTAGGTACTGACAGCGCACATCGCCATGGTGTAACTGTATTAAAACTACTACGGTACTACGGTTTCAAGCCGATTGCGCTAAAAAAGTCTATAGACTTTTTGGTGATGCAGATATCGAGAAAACTATCAAAATAAACCGCCTAAAGTGTGAGTTCGAAATTAGATCGTCTTTTCCATAGACACTGTTCGTTAACTCCGCCATATTTGGTCCACAATACTTTTCTCTCAAAGATTCGTAGTAACTCGTTATCTCGGGTCGTCAATGCCTATGTTTCTGATTCGTAGCATACAAAGGAAAAACAAAAAAAAATTGGAAAAGTGGCTATTTATTTCTCAACATAGCCTACTTTTAGCTCTATACACTTGACCCAGCGACGCTCAAACTTTTTGACCCGTTTGAAAAATTCGTTTTCTGCAGAGACAAACAAGACAAGCAAAAAGTAGTCACACAGGGCTAAATCTAGAGAATATGGTGTATGGGGCAACAGTTCGTAGCCCAATTTGAGCAATTTTACAATGGCGATGGCGGAGGTATGAGTTGGTACGTTTTCGTGGTAGCAGCACGTTTTTCTTCGCTAAATGGGGTTGTTTTTTTCTGCAATTTGGCGTATCGGACCAATAATTCGACGTATAATAAGCGCATAATTCGGCACTGTGACCGTTTTGCTCTTATCCAAGTAATCTACGTAGATCATCCCTAGTGAATCTCAGAAAATTGTGAAACATGCGACCACGTTGAAACTTGTTAAATCTATTTTTGAGGGTTGCCATCGAAGGAGAACAGTTACCGTACACAGCAACCTAGCGCTCTTTGATTTCGCTGTGCGATTTACTTTGCAAAAACAAGAATCGAATCACCGGCCGATATTGCTCTTTTTTGATCTTTCTAAAATCCGCGAACACGCCTGTTTTCACACGCGTTCGAAACAAAACTACGAGTCCTATTCGGCTGAAATTGTGGCATTAGCCCTCTATGAGAATGTATTACATGATATTGTCTAGAAGATTTCTCTAAGGTAAGTGAGCACTAGGCATATTATTATTTCTCGCTCTTAGTTGATCATGACATAGGGCATAGAAGTGCGCGAAGATACTAACAAAACGAAACAGATGCTAAGGGTTGCCGAAATGAAAACCCTAAGAACAATAGTGGGCAAAACAAGAAGAGACAGAGTGAGAAATACAAACTTTAGAGAGCAGTGCAAAATTCAAGATATTGTAAGATAGGGAAGGCAGCGTAAGAGGATGTGGTTCAATCATGTAAGACGAATGGATGAGAATAGACTCCAAAAAATTGCCCTAGAAAACAACCCGCCCGGTTC